CAGAGTGCCAGTATCTTTTGCCTATACATGAAAGAAGGGGTCGCCCCTCGCACAAGTGAGCAGAGCAAACCAGTATATCTTATCTTGCACTTATGCTTGAAAATAAGGCATGACTTTGCTCACATGGGTTTGAGCAACACACGCGTCTTGCCATCAAAAAGGCAATCAGTCGGTCATAGCATTGCCCGCCGTGGATGCCTGAAAGGGGGTCGCATATTAACTCAAATTGACCCGCAAGGCAACTCAAATTGACCCGCAAGGCAACTCAAATTGACCCGCAAGGCAACTCAAATTGACCCGCAAGGCAACTCAAATTGACCCGCAAGGCAACTCAAATTGACACACATTTTAGGTTGTTTCCCCCCGACCTGCGAGGCACCAATCTTGCGCTGGAGTGTGTCGTTGAGCAACTTGTTCAAGTCTTTGAGACTGATGCTTTTATCGCCACTTGACACATAGTGCTTGAAAGCAAAGATGAGCGATGACTTCATGCCACCCTTGATGGCAATGTAGCGGTCGTGCTCCTCAATGACGCGGTGTCCTGCCTCCCCGAGGAGGTAAAGCGATGCCTTGCCAACCTTGTCCTCGGTTGCCCCGGTAGATGAGGTCAGTTCGCCCATTGCCTTCTCCAAATCATCGGCGCTTGACAACTCAAGGAAATGCTTGAGGGTGTCCTGCGGGTTGATGGATGCCTCGTTCACAAGAACGCTCATCAAGCGCTTCACCTCGGTAACGTTCGCATCGGTTGCCCCCTCTACAATCCTGATGGAATCCTCGTAGTGCTTCTTGACCTCGGTGGCACGCTTAGCGCTCTTCTGCTTGGTGGCAACGGTCGTCTTGGCGCCACCAACCATCGCAACCGCAAGCATAATGTTGGGGTTGTCCAGCACGGTGGCGTGTAGTGGTTCCCACGCTTCAAAAAAACTGTTTGACCCTTGATACACCAAGCGAAATTCCTTGCCGTGACCAACCGAAATGCCAATGACCTCGGCAATCGTTTTCTCAACGTCGGCGATGACGGCACCGTTCTCGTAGTGGTAGAACAACTTGAAGGTATTTGTGCAAGTAGCGACATGGATGGTGACAGTGCCGATGGTCGCCTCGGTCTTTGCATTGAGTTCCTTGTCCTCCTGCAACACATCTGGCATCAAGGCAACCACGTCGCGTTCGGTCTGGGCATCCACATCGGACTCGGTCTGGGCAACCACGTCGGGTTCGGGGTGGGCATCCACGTCGGGTTCGGGGTGGGCATCCACGTCGGGTTCGGTATTGAATTTCATGTTCGCGTAGGACATGAATGTTTCAACGTGGTACTTCTTGGACTGAGCATCCGTCAGCACAACTGCAATACCTCCATCATAGTCCAACAACGCCCGAATGTCCTTCTTGGTCAAGTGTTCCACCTCTGCCTTGGTCGGTCGCCACGATGGTTTCTCTGGGTCAATGACAGTCCCCGTCGGAGCATTGAAAATCTTGACTGCATCACCAACCTTCACCAACACCACAGGCATGGCGTCACACAGTGCGGATTTATCACAATAGCAAACCTTCTCAATCCAAAAGTGCTTCGGAGTTGTCATTGCTCACATGCTTTGCTTGTTGCCATGCTACGAAACTCACACAAGCAAACACATTCAGCACCGGTGGGGCACTAATTGAAGACGATGTCGTCGCCCATGAAGCACACGAGTCGCCAAGACACAGGACACAAGAGGCACATCTTTGTGCCACAGCAATGCTGTGGCAGGCAGTGTTGAAACACAGCGTGCCACCCAGTTATTCTACCTACCGACCATGCGCAGGTTCGCTGTTTGATTTACGGGGAGTTACTTGGCGATTTTGTATTTAGGGGGATTGTTTAAGGTGGATAGGTGGTAAACGGATGATTTGTGGTAAAGTGGTTATTGGTGGAGGTGAGGGAGTGGTAAACTGGGATTTATGTGGTAAAGTGGTTATTGGTGGAGGTAGGGAAGTGGTAAACTGGGATTTATGTGGTAAAGTGGTGAATGTGGGAGGGGACGAAGTGGTAAACTGAAATGTGTGAATTTGGGCAAATCAGAACAACGAACCTGCGCATGACCATTGCTTGCTAACAGATGTCTTTGATATTTCGTATGTTGCGACCCACGGGTCTACGCTGAAGCGCGCAGCTCGCGCTTAGAGCTGTTTGGGCGCCAGTCCGCAGGAAGGAGGGAGAGGGAAAGTGGGTAGCAGCAGTGTCTAGGACCTTGAGGACCAAATGAACCCTAAGATTGGGGTCATATACCGTGACTACTATCATTCCTATTAAGGTCTATGAACCATCAAGACCCTTTTTAGGGTTCATTCAGTCGTTAAGGGAGTGCTGCCAACCGCGTGTATGCCCCAAAGCCGCTTGGTGGAGCGTGAAGACCTCGAGTTCTCTCAAGACGGGAGTGCAATCGATCAATAACGACCCCTTTCATTGGGGACGAAAGGAACCCTAAAATTGGGGTCATATACCCTGACTACTAGAATTCCTATGAAGGTCCATGAGCCATAAACCCTTTAGGGTTCATGTCGTCCCCAAGGTTGGAAGAGAGAGGAGACGGAAACGACTTGAACAGAGCTTCCTTCGACACAGCTTTTGAAAGAAATGGGTATTTCCCAAAATAGGGGTACCACTTTTATACCCCGAATAGACTTGAAGGGGCCCCAAAGAAGGGTACCCGGGTACCCCTATTTTCGGAAAACCCAAATGTTAAACCCTAAACCCTAAACCACAAACCCTAAACCCCAAACCCTAAACACCAAACCCTAAAGCCGAAAAACCCTATGAACCCTATAAACTGTATGAACCCTATGACTATAAACTCTATAAACCCTGTAAGCCCTACAAACCCTATAAACCCCATAAACCCTAAAACCCCATAGACCCTAAACCCTGGTCCCAAGGCCGCGGGGCGCGGTGTTGCCCTCCAGCGGCCTCGCCGAGGCACGATCCCGGAGAGCTTCTCCCGTTTTAAACGCTCTCCTCCCTTGTAGGGGGAAAAGGGTTTAGGGTTTAGGGTTTCGGGTTTAGGGTTTAGGGCTAGGGCTCCGGCACCTTGGGGGGGGGGGGGGGGACCAACTGTGAACCTTAAAGTTGCGGGTTAAAGTTTTAGGATTTAAGGTAGGGTTGAGGGTTTTTGGGATTTGGCGATTTGGGGATTTAGGGGTTTAGGGACTTAGTTATTTGGGGTTTGTTGGGTGTTTCGGGTTTGTTGGGTTTTAGTTGAGCATCGCCTTGCTCCTCCTCTCCTTCCTCCCGCCTCTTTTCCTGCCTCTCCTTTCTCTCCTGCTTCTTGTTTGCCCTTTTTTGTTCTCCAAACCCTATAAACCGTAAACCCTACACCCCAAACCCTCAGCCCTAAACCCTAAACCCTTAACCCTAAACCCCAAACCCTAACCCCTCTTTCTTCCCTTTCGCCCCCGCGATCCGCCCAGCTCCGTGGGACCCTGGGAAGCGCCGGGGAGACTTGGCAGCCAAGTCGGTCTTGTTGCGGCTCCGGGGTTCATTGTCGACCATGTGCTTAGGGTTTAGGGTTTAGGGTTTAGGGTTTAGGGTTTAGGCTTTTAGGCTTTTAGGGTTTAGGGTTTAGGGTTTTAGGGTTTAGGGTATAGGGTTTAGGGTTTAGGGTTTTAGGGTTTTAGGGTTTTAGGGTTTTAGGGTTTTAGGGTTTTAGGGTTTTAGGGTTTTAGGGTTTTAGGGTTTTAGGGTTTAGGGTTCCCGTCGACTCGGTGCTTGCCTTGGGGACGACATGAACCCTAAAATTGGGCTCATGTACCCTATACTACTAGAATTCCTATCAAGGTGTGTGAATCATAAACCCTGTTAGGGTTCATGTAGTCCCCAAGGTGAGAAGCCCGAAAAAATGTGAAACAATCATCCTCATACTGCTCTCATAAGGGGGTTTAGGGTGTAGGGTTTAGGGTTGAGGGTTGAGGGTTTAGTTTTTTTTTTTTTTTTTTTTTGGGGGGGGGGGGGGTTCTTAAGCAAATAGCAGTTGTTGAGGAGCTTAGCATAGAAAGCGAAGCAAGGTGGGCACTGTAGACTACGTGCTATATACCCCCCTTGTTCTGATTGCTTAACAAGCCTGAAGTTCCTGAACAAGAACCCTGATTGTGCTACCGTGTTTGCAGGCTCTCCTGCTGCAAGAGTTTCGGACAGCAACCCTAACCCTAACCCTAAACCCGAGACCCTAAACCTTATAAACCCTAAACCCTAAACCCTCCAAGTACACCCTCCTTTTTCCCTTAAGGAGCGCCGCCTCTACGGCCCAGGCAAGGCGCAGAGCACACGTTTGCAAACAGCTGCGGATGGGTCGGACGAAACCTGGGACCCTCTTTACCTACAGCCTTATGGAGTTATACCTTGGGATGTTCCCCCTTATACTAGCAGTCCTTTATAGGGGTACTAGAATCTCTATTAAGGACTCTTAGTATATAGTATAAGGGGGAACATCCCAAGTTACTAATTGAGGGTGGTTGACGGTAGCTACTACTAAACTGTAGGTAGATAGAATCCCAGGTAAGTGCAGAAAGGCAACTTCACGAAGGGTTTAAAGGCAGAACAACAGAACGACCATGTACCAGGTGAGGAGACAGATGGCGTGGTTCACTTCATGCGCTTCTGGCAGGCCCATCACTCCAGAAAACGGTCGGATTGTCATACAGTTTGTAGCAACCACAGCATTCTTCACGAGCTTTGAATGCGCATCTATGTCTGCTGCACCCAATGTAAAGAGAAGACAGCAGACATTCTTGCCGTGCCGCAACTGTGGCGCCAACATTGGGCAAGGAACTGGTACTTAACACCAAGCATGACACTTGTGAACAAACGTGAGGTTAGAAGGACTGAAGGTTTCTGGACGCATATGAAGCAAAGTTTATATTACTGTTATTGGTGAGTGTATATATGGGTAGTGTGGGTGTTATCCTTTTGGGGGTACAAGAAATGTAAACCCTACTTCATGTCTCGTTCCTTTCGGTAGCTACAGGTCATGGACTCGGTCCATCGACAGCACAAAGTTGTGGACGAGGCGTCGGGACATGTGTGGAAGCTGCCAACCTTGGGGCCTAAACGAGCCCTTAAAGGGTTTATGGCTCATATACCTTCAAAAGATTTTATAGTAGTATAGGCTTCATATACCTTAACAGGAGTTATAGTAGTATAGGGTTCATATACCTTAACCGGATTTTATAGTATTATAGGGTAGATGGCCCCACTTTTAGGGTTCACGTGGTACCCAAGGAGCAGCATGCAGACAGAGGGAAGAAATTCCGGTCCTTGCTTGCCTTCCTTGTTTGCACGAAGTGCCAAAATGGCACTATGCACATCCAGCATGGGCTACTAGGCCTCATAATCCCCTAACCAACCCTATGAAGGGCCTTTTTGAGGGGTTCGAGGGTAAAATAGCCCATGTAGTAGACCCTAAACCCTAAACCCTAAACCCTAAACCCTAATGCTGTGCGGCTCTCAGGCGCCACTCGTCAAGGAGCTGGCGTCCTTGCGCGAAGCTCTCCTGAGTCGTCTGGACCGCCAGGGAGATATCGCGGAAAGTTTCGATCCATGAGTTGATTCTACTTGTTTAGGGTTTAGGGTTTAGGGTTTAGGGTTGAGCTCTTTGCTTTGCTGCCCTTGTGTGAGGACCGCAACGCTGGGCAGCTTTCGTGTCGGTGGGTGCAGGAGGCCAGCCTTAGCACAGGAAACACGGGCATGCGACTGCCGAACATCTGGACCCACGCGATATGAAGCAGGGTTTGTATTGCTGTTTTTGGTGAGTGTATGTAAGGTTCCTTTTTAGTATTGGTGAGTGTGTACCTTGGGAGTCCTTTTGGAGGTACAAGAAATATAAACCCTACTTCATATATGTGTATATATATATAGAGATGCGAAAAGGACCCGAGGGTCCAGTCCACGACGACAGTCACAAGGATCGCGCCTCCGACACGCTCCATCCCTGCGCCGAGAACGATGTAAGGATCCGAAAGGCACAGAGACCCTAAACCCTTAACCCTTAACCCTTAAACCCTAAGCCCTAACCCTTCTTGAAGACCCCAAGAAAGCCTGGCTAAGGTTGCCCCAACGGATGCGGGAGTCTCTGTTCCAAGATGGTCGGAGAGCTGTCCTTGGGGACTAAATGAACCCTACAAGAGGTTTAAGCCTGATAAGGTTTAGGGTTTAGGGTTTAGGGGGTTTATGGTTCACACACCTTAATAGGAATTATAGTAGTCCTGGTATATGACCCCCCAAGTTTTAGGGTTCATTCCGTTTTCAAGGGTCCCTCTGCCAGGCAGTGAATCGCACTGCCCGCCGCTCCACCGATCCTTCTGCTTTTCTGCCGCTGCAGGCCATCCGGGGTTTAGGGTTTGGGGTTTAGGGTTTGGGGTTTAGGGTTTAGCGTTTACTGGTTAGGGTTTAGGGTTTACTGTTTGGGGTTTAGGGTTTAGGGTTTAGGATGAGTCAGAATGTATCCGCTTGTTTGCACAGATACATTGTTTGGTCCCCCCATTGGTCCTCGAATGGTCAACATGTTTTTCGGGGTCCCTTTACACAACAGCAGCCTAAACCGTCAAACCCTAAACCGTCAAACCCTAAACCCTAAACCCTAAACCCTAAACCCTAAACCCTAAACCCTAAACCCTAAACCCTAAACCCTAAACCCTAAACCCTAAACCCTAAACACTAAAACCCTAAACCCTAAACCCTAAACCCTAAACCCTAAACCCTAAACCCTAAACCCTAAACCCTAAACCCTAAACCCTAAACCCTAAACCCTAAACCCTAAACCCTAAACCCGAACCGAAGGGTGCCATAGCCACGGTCGCCAACTCTGGACAGCCCTCGCAGAGTCACGGCTGGTGGGGAGACTCCAGTACCTGGAAGCAGAAGAGTTCTAAGGGTTTAGGGTTTAGGGTTTAGGGTTTAGGGAGAAGAGTTCTAAGGGTTGAACCTTGGGGACTAGACGAACCCTAAAAGGGTTTATGGTTCATATACCTGGGTAGGAATTATAGTAGTCAGGATATATGACGACAATTTTAGGGTTCATTTCGAAGGTAGTTCTGAGGGTTGAAGAGTGTAATTAAGGGTTTAAAGTTGAAGCGTCTTAGGGGTTAAGATTTTTAGGGTTTCATGACCCTAAACCCTCAACCCTAAACCCTAACTATAAACCCTAAACCCTAAAGAGCTTTAGGGCTCAAGATTTTTGGGTTTTCGAGTTTAAGCGTTGAAGAGTTTTAGCGTTCTCGAGTTCAGGAGGTGAGGGTTAGGACTCAGGCTTTAGGGGCTCAGGGCCCTTAAACCCTAGACCCTAAACCCTAAGTCCTAAACCCTAAACCCTAAACCCTAAACCCTAAACCCTAAACCTTGGGATGCTTGGATGGCTCCAGTCTAAGGCATGAAGCTCGCCCTGGATGAGCTCTCCACGTTGATTCTGCCATGGCTGCAGGTGCAAGAAGGTTTAGGGTTTAGGGTTTAGGGTTTAGGGTTTAGGGTTTAGGGTTTAGGGTTTAGGGTTTAGGGTTTAGGGTTTAGGGTTTGGGTTTAGGGTTTAGGGTTTAGGGTTTAGGGTTTAGGGTTTAGGGTTTAGGGTTTAGGGTTTAGGGTTTAGGGGTCAGGGTTCAGGGTTCAGGGTTTAGGGTTCAGGGTTCAGGGTTTAGTCTGGATAAAAATCGCCGTCCAGCCATATTGGGTAGCTCTCTAAATTAGGGTCCCTTGGTGGTTACCCACTATAAGGCGGCACCAACTTAAACAGCAATCCCACACTGGGACCCTAGTTTAGGAAACTACCCACATCAATCCTTTCTAGGAGCTGATCGAAGACTACAGACGCGGCAGCCGGAGCACCAAGATCTTCTGCGTGAAGGATGCTTTGACTACGAGACAGCTGCGCCTTTTTTTTGAAGGGCTTAGGGTTTAGGGTTTAGGGTTCAGGGTTCAGGGTTCAGGGTTCAGGGTTTAGGGTTTATAGAGTTTAGGCTCAGCCGACACTCTCCCCCCCTGTCAGGACGTTGCCGGCTGTCGCATCCGGGACGCGTGCGTCCACCTTGGCCGCAACGACTGGGACCTCTTTTATTCGGCTCAGGGAGCATCCTGCGAAAGGGCTCATGGCATCTTAAGAGGAAGGGATTGGTCCCTGCATTGAGCGACTGAGCGTGATGTTCTGCCGGACACTCGCGAAGTTAGGAAGTCAGACCTAAGACCCCAGTCCCCCTATCCCCCCCCCCCCTCGCCACATGCAGGATGTGGAAGCCGCGCTTCAGAGTCTCTATGCGTCCACGGAACCCAGCAAGAAACTGGAGGCACAACTGACTCACAAACGGACTCGAAAAAGCAGAGGGAGGCAGAAAGAGAAAGAGAGAGAGAGTCGAAGATACTAGGAGAGTGCAAAAGAGCAATGCCCCCGGTTACACTGGTCTACTTGGGGGCGAAATGAACCCTAAGGGGTTCATGTAGTCCCCAAGGGTCTCAAAGATCCAGGTGAAGAAGCCCAAAGCGGTGGCCTCCTGGAGCACGCGTGGCGCAAAGCGCCTCGTCCGAGAATGTCCCTAAACCCTGAGCCGAAACCCTAAACCCGAGGGACATGTTGTGAGGCAATTCTCGAGCATCTGGTGGTACCTTGGGGGCCAAATGAACCCTAAACATTTGGGGCCATATACCCTATACTACTGTAACTCCTGTTAAGGTAATATGTTCATTTAAAATTGTGGCCATATATACCCTATAATTCCTGTTAAGGTAATGTGAAACATAACTCTATTTGGCTTCACTTAGTCCCCAAGGGAGCGGCCGTTTCTCCCGTCGGGGATGCCAAAGGCTTTCGACGGTTGGCTGGGTGCTGCATTTCTTATCGGCGCGTTGTCTCCTCCTCCCTTTCAAGCGCCTTAAACCCAACACCTCAAACCAAACCCAGGCTTTCTAACTGCCATCCAGACTTAAAGCCTTAGACCCCTTAAAACCCCCCCCTCAAACCCCCTAGAACCCTGAGGTTGAAGAAGAATGAGGTGGACTGCCCGATTTGCGCAGAGGCCTACACTGCAGGCGGGGGGATCAAGGCAGAGCCGCGAGAAGCTCCGCAATCTTCTGATGGCGCCAAGTGCACAGACCCAGGGGCCTAAAAAAACCCTGAAAGGGTTCATGGTTCATACACCTGAGTAGGAATTGTAGTAGTCAGGATGTGTGGTTACATGTCGTCCCCAAGGGAGGGACCCTGTGAGGCAATTCGTCCGTGATGACTCACTGCTGCTTCCAAGTTTTCTGCGAGCGCTGCCACAAGCGAGTCACGGACGCCGAAGGCCTCACCTGCAGGGAGTTGGGACAAGTGAGGCATGGTGAGGCCAAGAGAGTCACTTTTTGCCTGGGACTCTATCTACCCGCAGTTTTAGTAGTAGCTACCCTTAAGTAGTGGGTATAACCCATAAAGCTGTAGGTAAAGAGGTCCCAGGTCACTGTAACTCTATTTACCTGCAGTTTTGTTAGTAACTACCCTATAATCAGTGGGCATAGCCCATAAAGCTGTCGGTAAAGAGGGTCCCAGGTCACTTTAGAAAAACCCTAAACCCTAAACCCTACACCCTAAACCCTAAACCCTAAACCCTAAACTCCTCTGAGTCCACGTCATGATGAAGCTCACACGGAGGCCGGCTGAACTGCCCCTTCTGCCGCGGAGCCGATGGCATGCCTTGCCTGGACCTGGACTCAGAGGAGAGGGTTTAGGGTTTAGGGTTTAGGGTTTAGGGTTTAGGGTTTAGGGTTTAGGGTTTAGGGTTTAGGGTTTCCGGTTTAGGGTTTAGGGTTTAGGGTTTAGGGTTTAGGGTTTAGCCTTGCCTGGACCTGGACTCAGAGCAGACATATACCGTAAAGAGGGGGAGACATAGGGGGGAATTTTCCAAAATGTGGACCCTGCACCCTGAACGAGTCCCAAAGCCCAAAGCCTCAAAGCACTGAAACGGTCAATCAATCGCACCATCCTGGCTCGAGCGCCTCCTGGGACCTGCAAGAAAATTCAAGGCTCCTTTGCCCGCAATAGAGCTGTTGAAGGATTGGTGCATCCGCGCCACGAAAAGGATACAAAGCTGGCAATCTCAGTCCTACAGCCCTACAGTATCACATCGTCAGGCAGGCTGTGTTTCCTGGAGATTTAGAAGCCCACGCTGATTTCTGCAGGGGTTGTTGGGACTACTGCGAGCAAAGCTTTCCGAAACCCCAACCGCGCACCGGAAGAGGGGGAGACGCACCGGAAAGACGGGGGGACGCCGGAAGAGGGAGGCTCCTGTGAGTCTTTGACCTCTAAACGCGGCCCTAACCCCGAAACCCGAAACCCTAAACCCTAAACCCTAAACCCTGAACCCCAAACCCAAACCCCCCAAACCCCAAACCCCAACCCCCCCCCCCCCCCGCCTTCCCTCAGCCTGCAGGAGGAGCCGCCAGCGCAGAGCCGGCTGCAGCGTGTGGCGGGGCTGCTCCAGGCCAACACCATTTCCTGAAAGGGACCAAACGAACCCTAAACGGGTTTATGGGGGTTCAAATACCTTAGGGTTAGGGTTTAGGGTTTAGGGTTTAGGGGGTTTAGGGGGTTTAGGGGGTTTAGGGGGTTAGGGGGTTTAGGGGGTTAGGGGGTTTTTAGGGGGTTTAGGGGGTTTAGGGGGTTTAGGGGGTTTAGGGGGTTTAGGGTGTAGGGGGTTTAGGGGGTTTAGGGGGTTTAGGGGGTTTAGGGGGTTTAGGGGGTTTAGGGGGTTTAGGGGGTTTAGGTTTCATACACCTTCATTGGAATTCTAGTAGTATAGGGTATCACCCCCATTTTAGGGTTCATGTCGTCCCCAAGGTTCGCTCCTTCTGCCGCCGCGCTCTTTCGCCACAACCTTGGGGAGCAAATGAACCCCAAAATTGGGGGCATATACCCTGACGACTTTCGTTCCTAGTAAGGTTTTCTGAGCCATATAAGCCCTTTTAGGTCCCCAAGGGCAGAGAAAAGAGCTTCCGAAGAGGTTCGAAAAAATTTGCCCTCGCGAGGCACCTCGGCGCCTTGCGGCGCTCACGACGCGGCTCTGCGCCGGCATGGGGAGCACCTCGGCCGAAACGCTGCTTGCCTCGCCCCCCCTTCCCCTCTTGATTCCTTTTGCCCCCCCCCCCCCCTCCCCCCCCTCTTGCCCACTTTTTGCATTTTTGTTGCCCGCTTTTTGCTCCTCTTGTTTTTGCCGGTTTCGGCCCCCCTCTGCCTTGTGAGGCTGCCTGCCCAATGCGGCTGCGGGCTCTTTGCGCGACGGCTTGCGGCAGCTTGCACCCGCTTGCCGCGTGCCCAGCTGGGATGTATTCAGTGCAGCGAAACCCTCAACCGGCCCTCAACCCCTAAACCCTAAACCCTCAACCCTAAACCCTAGAGCGAGCTCAGGCATGCTTTGTGCGGCTGTGGTCATCTGCAACATCTGCCCTTCAACGTAAGGAGCACAGTGGCAGACAAAAATGGGCCTAGCGCCAGAATGTGAGAATACGGCAGGTTCACCACGCGGCCATATGTTTTACCTTAAAAGAGCCCAGAACCTCCCCTTTTGAAGGAACCCTGAGCCCAGAACCTCCCCTTTTGAAGGTTACGCACGCCGGGAGGTTATGTGGAGCACTCGTGTGTGCCTTATATTTGGAGGAATCGTTACCGTTGCAAGCCTTGGTTTAGGGTTTAGGGGTTAGGGTTTGGGGTTTGGGGTTTAGGGTTAGTTGCTGAGAGTTGTTTTTGTTATCTTCCGGAGTGCTTCGAATATACAGGTCTTCTCTCTGAAGCCGTGGCCGCATGCATCTCAAGTATAGGTGCACAACGATACGCCGGGTATCCTTCACAGATGGCCACGGCTTCTTTGACAGCTCCCCGAATGCCTCTACAATCCTACAAACCCACAATGAAAGCTCGGATGTGGTGCGTTCCACATTCTGGGCGCTCTCCCTTGAAAAATGCGCACACCTACAATGTAAACGCAACCGCCGCATTTCACGGAAGGTTTGACAGGTTTTGAGTCGTCGTCCTATCTGCACTTGAATGGAAGAGCTTCTTTCTCCGTGTGCTCTGCTCACATCCACTGCCTCCGCCAGCGCTCTCAAGCACGTGAGATCGCTCGAGCTGAGTACGTTCCTATATCTCAGAGAGGCCTTGAGTCGCAAAATAGATAATGGCTGAGAAGCTGTGGCTGAGCAGACTACAACCCTTGTGCTGAACGAGTGTTCGCTTTTACGAGACATTTGAGGCTCTAGCCGAGTCTAGCCATGTTTCTGGGTTTCCTGGCATTTGCCGCACGCTGCTCTGTGGTGGCGGCCGCGGTGGCCGTAGTGTGTTTGCTCTTCGGCAGGGAGGAAATGAGGGCATAGTCAATGACAGATGGATCACTTGGGATCCGAGCCGCACGGGACTTTGATGTGATAAGGAGTACCAGTACACAGCACCAGTACACCGGTGGCCATCCATAATATATACATATATACAAACATTACGTACGAACTATAAATATGTAGATACAGATACAAATATCAGTATCAAAATAAATACATCAATCAATAAATAAATAAATGTATATATATATAATTTAGGGGTTGCAGCTTTAGTTGCTGTGTCGGCCAGCGGCCCACACATCACTCGAGACCTCATCCAAAGTGAGGCTGCTGCTGTGGACGGTCACAGACAGACGCGAGCACTTCCAGAATTCCTGTCACAACTTGAGGCGCGAAGAGCTGCTTTCTGTTTCTTCTTGAAGTCTATGGAAGCCTTTAAGTGAAGAAATTCGTAAGGGTCAGCTAAGTCAGAATCTTGGGGTGGTCATCCTTAAAAGACGGTCATCCTTTTTAAGGTTCTCAGTCTTAATTAACTGGGTCCTTTTTGTTTTAGACTTTGAGGGCTTCTTCCTCTTTTTCTGTGTTTGCAGCATGGGCTACTATACCCTATAACCCCTTACAAAGGCCCTTTATAGGGTTGATTATGGGGATTATAGGGCCTAATAGCCCATGCTGGTTTCCTAAACCCTAAACCCTAAACCCTAAACCCTAAACCGTAAGGGTTCCTTAACCCTTAAACCCTAAACCCTAAACTCTAAACCCTGCTTGGGAGGTCTCCGGAGCTGCGGCTGCTGCCGGGCCTCAGCTTCAGCTGCGGGTGGCAGCGCGTGCGCCCCGAGTACGAGGGCGGCTGGGCGCCCTGGCGCCCTACAGAGCTCTTTGAGGGTTTAGGGTTTAGGGTTCAGGGTTTAGGGTTTGGGGTTAGGGTTTAGGGTTTAGGGTTTAGGGTTTAGGGATTAGGGTTTAGAACAAGGACCCCAACAAGAACCTCAATTTAGAGATGCATATGCTGGCCTCCGTCTTGTATGTTCTCAGCTCCGCTTTTTTGGGGGTCACCTCTTAGTCCTGTGTGGGGGATTTCTCCAAATTGTGGGGCCCTTTCTTTTTTGGGGGGTTACCCTTTTTATGTGCATACCTAGGGCTCCGTGTTGCATAGAAGGCATAGCAGGAGCCCCTGACACGGGGCCGTATTTTGTGTTGCCCTGTGCAATTTGGATGCGCGTAGAGGAGAGAACCGCTGAAGAAACGTAACCCTAAACCCTGAGGCTCCGTACGCCTTCATCCAACCGAATGGGTCCTGGTGCTGGAGCAATGCTGGCTTTCTTGCCTCTTCTGATGGATCAGGTGCGAATGAAGCTACGTGCAAGAAACACGGGACTTCCCAGAGACTCCAAAATCCCTTTAATTCGGGAATGTCCCCTAAATTACAGTAGGAACCCTATGATGAGTTAAAGTAATATTCCTTTTAGCTAAGGGGTTTTGTAGGAATCCTAGGATATGATTTAAAGTCATATTCCTTAAGAATAAGGGGTCTGGAGTCTCTGACTTCTTGTCAACTCCACCTTGGGGACGAAATGTACCCTAAAATTGGGGGTCATATACCCTATACTACTATAACTCCTATTAAGATATATGAGCCCTAACCCCTAAACCCTAAACCCTAAACCCTGTTTCATAATTCGTCCCCAAACCATGTGTAGGCCTTTTGGTGGATACACTGATGGACCCGGTGCTGACCAGCACCATGCTCCGAGAGCTGGGCCCTGCCGCAGGCGCGACTTACCTTGGGGACGAATTATGAACCCTAAACGGGTTTAGGGTTTAGGGTTTAGGGGGTTTATGGCTCATACTACCTTAATAGAAGTAATAGTAGTCAGGGTGTATGACCCCAATTTAGGGCGCTTCGGATTTCTTTTGGGGGGTGTTACGAAACTAGGGGACCCCCCAATATAGAGCCTCAAATAGTGGGATCCCCAGAGAACAAGGACGCCAAGAAGGTATCCCCATACTTTCGGAAGCCCCCCAGAGGGTTGATCACCACCTGCAAAAATGGTGAAGCAACAGGCAGCACAAGATACTGCTTCGTTCAAACATCTCCCAGAGGTGTTCCATCGATTGGCGAACGTGTCAGAACACCACATCGGTGGGCCTTGCTTGAAGCCCCCCATGAACCCCAATAGGGTACCCCCACGAAAAAGGTACCCCTACTGAAAAGGTACCCCTGACCCCTACTTGGAAGGTACCCGACTTATTAAGGCACCCGTACTTATAAGGTACCCCCCACTTTTTAAGGTAGCCCTACTTATAAAGTACCCCTACTTATTAAGGCACCCCTGCTTATTAAGGTACACCTACTTATAAGGTACCCCCCACAAATTCGGAACCCTAAACCCAAAAAAACCCAAAAACCCTAAACCCTAAGCCCCCCTATTTGATTTCTGACCTCTGGTCTCAGCTCCAGGGGGCCTCGCGCCGGGTCGTGTGGATGCTCCTCGTCTCAAGCCCGGGGCCTTCGGGGCCAAATGAACCATAAAATTGGGGTTTAGGGTTTAGGGTTTAGGGTTTAGGGTTTAGGGTTTAGGGTTTAGGGTGACTACGATAATTCCTGTCAAGGTGTATGAACCATAAGTCCATAAGCCTTCTTTGGGTTCATACTTAGTCCCCAAGAAAAGGGGAGGGGGATTCGGGGGGTGCAAGATTCACTTAAGACGCCAGGCTGTCGTCTTCACGCATCCCGACGTAGATCACATTCTGGGCAACCAGGCCTCACAGTTTCAGTCAGTCAGGCATCCCCTAAACCCTAAACCCTATATACCCTAAACCCTAACCCCTAAACCCTAAGCCCTAAACCCTAAACCCTGACTGTTATGTAGAATGCATCAAGCAAGAGTGTTGCACAACAGCTTGCGAACGGAGCAGGCCCTGCCACCGGAGATTCCGCGACTCGGAACTGTCAAAGCTCAGCAAGACATCGATTTGCAGGCCCCGCTTTCACCTACTGGGTTCGAGGGAACGAGGGAGTTAGGTATAGTCCCTAAAGGGGATAGATAGATAGATATATGTGTATATATGTATATAGGGTCCTTAAAGAGTACCCCGTATAGTCCCCAAAAGGGAATATATACCGACATAAATATTATATATATATATATTCATTTTTAAACTCTCTACCTATTTATACCTGTATTTCTAAATTTGTCGTTCGTCCTATGTATAGGGTCCTTAAGAAGAGCTCGCCACATGGCCGCCATGGCCAGCGTGGCCCATGCACTCCGCCAGGCCGGGGCGGCGTGGAAGCTGAAGCTGTGCGTGGAAGCGGGGAGATTCATCTGGCAGGTGCTGAAGCTCTTCGGAGGACCCCCCTGCACTGCTGGGGTTTAGGGTTTAGCGTTTAAGGGTTTAGGGTTTAGGGTTTAGGGTTTGGGGTTTAGGGTTTAGGGTTTAGGGTCTTATCGACCGTCAGACATGATTAACATCAGCAGGCAGGGTTCATGCCTATCCTGCTCTCTTCATGGAGGCGCTTCCCTGCTGCCGCTGTTGCCACCCTCACTGGCGCCTCGGGCGCTTTCGCTGCTGGGCTTCGCAAAGTCGCAAGACAATCTCGCAGGCGGGGTTTAGGGTTCAGGGTTTAGAGTTTAGGGTTTAGGGTTTAGGGTTGCGAGTCTTCGTGGACACTCCAGCACGAGCTGGAGTGCCAACTGCTCGGCAGGCCTACAGTGCCCTAAACCTAAACCCTAAACCCTAAACCCTAAACCCTAAACCCTAAACCCTAAACCCTAAACCCTAAACCCTAAACCCTAAACCTCCTCGGTTTTAGATAGGACATCTTTGGCTTGGGTGACTCCAAGCGAAGCAGGGGGGTACTTGGAGCTTCATGGTACTTCTTAACCAATTATCATTGTACTTGTAACCATGTTAGAGCACTTAAGGGGCTTATAAGTGGGTTATCAGTGCAGTTATAATTGGTTCACAAGTAACATGAACCTCCAAGAACAAGCACCGGAGACAGCCTCTGAAGACGGAGTTGTCTAACCAAACGTAAGCAGACCCTAAACCAAAAGCCGCTGAACCCTGAACCATTTACACCCCAAGACCTTTAACCCTTGTAACTTAAACCCTCGAGCCCCACACCCTGAACCCTTAGACCTTAAACTTCTAGAAACCTTGAACCTTTAGACCCTGAAGCCTTTACACCCTATAACTTTTAAGCGATATGAACCTTTAAACTTCTTAAGCCTATAAACCTTGAAACCCTAAACCCTAAACCCTAAACCTTATAAGCCTTTAACCTTAAGCCTTTATTCTTAAGCCTTTAAACCTTGAAAACCTAAACCCGAAGCCCTAAGAATCTTCAGCCTTCATTCTTAAGCCTGTAAACCTTTGAAGCCCTAAGCCCTAAACCCTAAACCCTAAACCCTAAACCCTTTAACCCTTTAACCCTTTAACCCTTTAGCCCTTTAAACCTTAAAGCCCCAGTTCCGACCTGGCAGGCTTCAACCTGTGGGAGGTGGACGGGCGTCGGCTGCCCAAGTTCGAGTCCATCCTGTCCTCAGGAAGAGCTTGGGTTTAGGGTTTAGGGTTTAGGGTTTAGGGTTTAGGGTTTAGGGTTTAGGGTTTTGGGGTTTTGGGGTTTAGGGTTTAGGGCAAGCTTGGCTTTGAAGGTAGCCAAGCGAGTGCACTGCTGGTGATTGATACCTTGGGGACTAATGATGAACTCTAAAAGGGTTATGGTTCATATTATCTTAATAGGAACTATAGTAATCAGGGTATATGACCCCAATCCTAAACCCTAAACCCTTAACCCTAAACCAGGGTATATGACCCCCCAATTGTAGGGTTCATACTTGGTCCCCCTAAACCCTAAACCCTAAACCCTAAACCCTAAACCCTAAACCCTAAACCCTAAACCCTAAACCCTAAACCCTAAACCCTAGATAGTCTCGCAGCCGCTGCGCCTTTGGAGCAGGAGACAACATCACTCTGGGCGACCGGGTCTTGCCACTGCGGTTCCTGAGCAGCACCAGAGTGTCTCTGATATGTATATATATATATACTTATATATTTATTTGTCTTAGTTTATTTATGCATAGATTATACATATATATATATATATATATATATCCGGTTTCTTCAGAATTTCTGGGATTTCTTATTACTAGGTGGTTCCTACCTCATGAGGGAGTTAAAGTGAGCTGCCTGTCCGATCTCTTGTTGGAGCCCCCTCAACCCTAAACCCCAAACCCCAAACCCTAAACCCTAAACCCTAAACGCTCTCAGGTTTTGGGAGGCAGGCGCCATCCACTCGAAGAGTGCTCCTTTGCCAGCACTGGGCAGTAGAATCGACGCGTCTGCGTTGACCGAAGAAGACTTGGGGTTTAGGTTTTAGGGTTTAGGGTTTAGGGTTTAGGGTTTAGGGTTTAGGGTTTAGGGTTTAGGGTTTAGGGTTTAGGGTTTAGGGTTTAGGGGTGAGTCCAATTCTGACATGCTGCAGTTGTGACCTGCTGGGTCAGACCTCCCAGTATCATCCAACACCCAAGGATTCGATGATCCTTTTGCCCGACAGCAAAGTGGCTTTCACGGGCGATTTGCTCTTCATCGGCATCGCGCCCGTGATGTGGCTACTTGACATTACTTGACGGCGTCTCGCTATAGTTCTTAGTAGGAAGCTATCGGGGATCAGGTACAGTACCTATTACTCTCCCCCCCCCTCCTTGAAGGGATAAACCCACAGACCCGACCAGGATGGGCTATTGGGCCCTATAATCCCCCTAACCAACTCTGTAAAGGGCCTCTTTAAGGGGGTTAGAGGGCATAATAGCCCTAAACCCTAAATCCTAAACCCTAAACCCTAAACCCTTCCTGGTAAGCCCTCATGTTTCCTACCGAGTGCATGAGCAAGTAGCCCTTCGAGCTCTCGATCGAGGAGTGGGCCTGCCCTTGCTTGGGTCAAGGCGCTGGATGATCTTTTGGAGGTGGAGGGCAGCTGCTGAACATATATATATATACACATATACATATATATATATATACTATTGTTGCTTGCTTTTTTAAGGTGTGTGTACTGTATATATGTATATATTAAACCGGTCGAGCCTTTGCACGAACGCACTCGTGTAGTTCTTGATGAGGCCACAGGCGCCGACTGGCGCTTCGTTCCTGGCCGGGATCACAGCTATGGGGTACGTCTACCCCTTTAACCCTGTAAACCCTAAACCCCTAAACCCCTAAACCCCTAAACCCTAAACCCTAAACCCTAAACCCTAAACCCTAAACCCTAAACCCTAAACCCTAAACCCTAAACCCTAAACCCTAAACCCTAAACCCTAAACCCTAGCCAAGTTGCCTGTCAAGGCCACGGTCCGGTCACGGACGCGGAGGGCGTGCGCTCCGTCCGGCGATACTTCGCGTATCTTCATGAGGCCCACATCCTTGGGGGCCAAGGATGCCATCTACTGAGATAGTCCCTATTAAGGTATATGGACCATAAACCCTATTGGGTTCATAATTAGTCCCCAAGGGTTTGACCGCCTGGCATAAAGAAGAGGGAGGGATGCTGCAGAGCTGAGACCCTGTCGCGACTGCAGGCGGTCTCGAAAGCCTGCAGCGACTTGCCGCTCAACGTCTCGGACGCCGACGAAGCTTGTGCCCGCCGCGTCCTGGAACAGATGCCGCAAGATCTCAAGGCACCAACTTGACAGGTGCTTTTTGGAAATCCTGTGTGGTTCATCCCGCATTCATGGCGTATGGGGGTTTCCGAAATTAGGGGTGACCCTTTATGGGGTCCGTATTTGTAAGAGAATCCTACTATTTGGAGTCTATATTTGGGGCCCCCTATTGTCGCAAACCCCCCTATGGCAGGACGACTTCCATGAGCCCGAGCGCATCATGATCTGCGCGGTCATTGAGCGCATGGCGCGCCGCGCTGGCGGCCCCGCCAAGGTGAACGTCTTGACCAAGGCTGGACTCGCACCTGCATTTCCCTCAATCTGTACATTTTTTTGCAGTTTATGTGTAGAAAGAGAGAGACAGAGAGGGAATATGATCTTATGTGTAAACAGTAAATACACAAACAAACGGGTATACATATATATATATACATATATATATATGTGTATATGTGTATATATATATATATGTATATATGTATGTATATGTATACGCACATATATCTACCGATCCGTGCGGGACATGACATCGAGTCGCTCGTTTTGCCTTCACAAAGAGTCTGGGAAGTGGTCGTGACTCGGGCATAACACCACCTCACTTTGGGGGTAACAGGGTTTAGGGCAGTTTAGGGTTTAGGGTTTAGGGTTTAGGGTTTAGGGTTTAGGGTTTAGGGTTTAGTAATGCCACGCAAATCAAGTTTGCGAAGTCCAGTGGAGTCGTTATGACATGGCGTGGCAGCTTGGAGACAGTCCTGAGTTAGAGTTGGTTGCCGAGCATGATCGCGAGAGAACATCAACGCAGCAACATGTGACCTGTACCTTGGGGACGAAATGAACCCTGAAAGGGTTTATGGTTCATATACCTTAATAGGAATTATAGTAGTCAGGGTACATGACCCCCAATTTTAGGGTTCATTTCGTCCCCAAGGTAGACTTGTAAGTCATTGCAAGCAAATTAAACGTTCCACTTTGCCTGCAGTTGAAATGGATTGGAAAGATGAGCGCGCACCCGAGAATGCATTCGAAACTGCACTGCATCGTGTTATGGGCACCACCGACTCAGAATCTGCTGAGGCGAACATCGCATGCAGCTGCCATCTTCACTTGGAAGAAGTTCAGATGAGCTGTAGGGCTTAGGGTTTAGGGTTTGGGGTTTAGGGTATAGGGTTTAGGGTGCAGGCTTTAGGGTTAGATTGGCAAGGTCCTTAAAGTTTTGGTACGGTGTGGTGTATCGGCCTGTTTCTGGTAGGCGCGAGCCTCCATAACATGTACACTAGACTGCCGCTATCCAAATCTGATGTATAATGTACCTTGGGGACCAAATGAACCCCAAAAGGGTTTATGGTTCAGATTACCTTAAGAGGAACTGTAGTCGTCAGGGTATGACCCCAATCTTTGGGGTTCATTTCATTGCCAAGGTATTCAGACCGTTGACTTTAAAATCTGGGCGCGGCTTGATCGCGTGTTGTACGCTGTACAGTCACTGGGACACGTTGCGATCATGTTGCGGATGACGGGGATGCCGGCGGGAGCATAAAAGCGCACCCGGCAAGTGTATGTTCCAGCTGTTAGAAACAGAATAGAGGAATGGAGGGTTTCCGCGTGGCATGGCATATCACATGAAGTCTTCGAAAGGAAAGGAAGTCGGTATGAGCATATTTTGTTAAAGATGCAAGTGCAATCGGGAAGTTTTCTACAACTACTTGCCGGGGCTGCTAGCACCTGTCCCGGCAGCTAGGCGGGGTGCACCAAAAAGCAGCGACAGCAAAGCCCACACGATCTTTCATTGAAGGAGCACTTCCTTGGGGACTGAATGAACCCTAAAAGGGTTTATGGGTTATATTGTTATATTGCCATCATAGGAATTATAGTAGTCAGGGTTCATGACCCAAATTTTTGGGTTCATTTCGTCCCCAAGGTTTGCATCAGACGCCTGGTCAGGATGAGTTCGGCCTTGCCTAAATCCTGCTGCCGCCTCTTTTTTTTTTTTTTTTGGGGGGGGGGGGGTTAGGGTTTAGGGTTTAGGGTTTAGGGTTTCGGGTTTAGGGTTTAGGGTTTAGGGTTTAGGGTTTAGGGTTTTTGGGGGGTGTAGTCAGGGTATATGACCCCAATTTGAGTCTTTGGGTGCGCCCCTAACTTTGCCCCTTTCTTGCCGTCCAATCGCGCAGCTTTGCCTTTCTTGGCCCAGGCCTTTAAGGGCTTGTCGCTTATCTATCCCCTAAACCCTAAACCCTAAACCCTAAACCTTAAACCCTAAACCCTAAACCCCCTCAACTGGAGCCCTGAAGCCTTCCATGGGGCATCCCCAACACCCCACAAGAAAGCCTCCCAAAGCCTAACGTCTTGCCGGCCCCGCGGCCTTGAACTCAACATGCCCCACAAACACCACCAGCAAAGTATCCTAAACCTAAACCCCAAGCCCGAAACACGAAACCCGCAACCCTAAACCCTAAACCCTAAACCCTAAACCCTAAACCCTAAACCCTAAACCCTAAACCCTAAACCCTAAACCCTAAACCCTGAACCCAGGCAGCCCCCGCAAAAGCCACCAACTTAGCTGCGCCCACATCTTCCTTTGGCAGCGCGGGGCGCGCCGAGGCTTGGTCTGCCCGTGGTGGTGTTTATCTGCTGTTTAGGGTTTAGGGTTTAAGGTTTAGGGTTTAGGGTTTAGGGTTTCAAGCCGTTCTGAAGGGGGCTTGAAAGGTGCATTTAGGGCCTTTAGGGCGTTATAAAGGGCTGCTCTGAGGGGTTTTTAGGGGTTGAGGCTGATGGCTTGAAAAAGGGTGTTTTTGGGGTGCTTAGGCCTCCTTTGGGGCTTTTGAGGGTTTTCAGGGTTTAGGTTTAGGGTTTAGGGTTTAGGGTTTAGGGTTTAGGGTGTAGGGTGTAGGGTGTAGGGTTTAGGGTTTAGGGTTTAGGGTTTAGGGTTTAGGGTGATTTTTGAGCAGATTTCCAGCTTGCCCAGCCGAGCTCAGGGCTGCACATTCGCGATCTACGTTTGTGCAGTTGAGGGTTTAGGGCTTAGGGCTTAGGGCTTAGGGCTTAGGGTTTAGGGTTGAGGGTTTAGGGTTTAGGGTTTAGGGTTTAGGGTTTAGGGTTTAGGGTTTAGGGTTTAGGGTTTAGGTTTAGTGTGGGAAACCATGGCCCATTGCTGTTGACCCTGTCTGGATTGTTTGTGCCCCAAATGAGCACTATTGTAAGAGAAGGTTATCGAGGCGTGTGTTCCCCCCACTGTGGGCAGCTACTAGTAAACATTGTCGTGGACCCTAAACCTAAAACCTTAAACCCTAAGCCCGAAGCCCAAAGCCCTAAGGTCAATTCCACACTTGGCCCAGGCAATGTGGGCCTATGGCCAAGGCCCACGGGAACTTTTAGGTGGGCAGGTTTAGAGTTTAGCCCACCCTGTGTACCCCCCAAAGTGCTCCAATCCTTCTGATCTGAGCCCCCCAAATACAATTTACATCCCAAGAGCAGATGCTAAATAGTAGGATCCCCTTTTAACAAGGACTCCAATAAGGTACCCCTAGTTTTCGGAAACCCTAAACCCTAAACTTAAACCCTTAAACCCAAGAGCAGATGCTGAAAGAGGGCACACAAACGCTCAGAGCTCCTGAAGTCCAAAAGCAGACGTTCTGCAGAGATCGGTGCTCTTTCTGAATGTGTCAAGGGACGAAAAGGAGGGACCCTTATTGGGGACTTTAGGGTTTTTTAGGGTTGTTTTGGGGCCTACTTAGGTATATACGTAGGGACAAGTCCCCCTCATACCAGCAGTCCTGAATAGGGAGTATAATAAGGGGTACTATAATCCCTATTGCGGACTGCTAGTAGAAGGGTGAACATCCCAAAAATGCTCCATCGAGCTAGGGCTCTACACTAACCCACCATCTCGCGGACGGCCCTACAGACGGGCGCCGATCCGAAGTAGCTTCATGGGCGTATGTGTGTATCTATGTATGTATGTATGTCTGTATGTATTTATTCATTTACTTGCATTTGTTGTGTTTCTAAAAATATTTTGCAAAATGTTACCATTCGATTTCTGTGGTTATAGATAATACTAAGCCCGAAACCCTAAACCCTAAACCCTCTCTAATTCTTCTGTCCGTGCTCACGGGCAAAACCTCGAGCCCGTCGGGCCAGGCACATGGGGCGTGGAGACCGGACAGACGGGAAGCTCAGCTTCTTTCCGGGGCTTCGGGTTTAGAGTGTACAGCTAGTGCGGCCCTCAAAACTTTGGGGACGAAATGAACCCTAAAATTGGGGGTCATGTACCTTGACTACTATAATTCTATTAAGGTATATGAACCATAAACCCTTTTGGGGTTCATTTCGCCCCCAAGGAAGTAGGTGTGGCATTGACACTTCGTCCACCCAGACTTTCACCTCCAAGATGTGGGGTTTCCTAAACTAGGGGGTACCTGGCTGGGGTCCTTGCTATAAGCAAATCTTACTATTTGGGGAGCTAGATTGGGAATCTCCCGGTGTTCGTCACCCTCCATGTGTGCTGGGGGTGTGTTCAAAGGTTTCGTGGCGTGCAAACGTGACTCGCACGGGCCGAGTTACACGAGAAGCAACTCGTGAGTCATTGAACCGTTTAGGGTTTAGGGTTTAGGGTTTAGGGTTTAGGGTTTAGGGTTCGTAAACAACCAGGTCGCCTTAGGGCTGCCCTGTAGAAGTAGTTCTGAAGCCCGCAAATTTTGAGCCGGATCCCTCTTTCTTCCCTTGCTTAAAGGGGAACCATAACACCAGCTCCCAAAGCCCTGACCACCCAAAAGCAACAACACGCGGCGGCAAAACTTCTGAGACCGTGGCCTTGAACACGCCCCCATGCTGCGGACGAAATGAACCCTAAAAGGGTCTATGGTTCATATACCTTAATAGGAGTTATAGTAGTACTGGGTATGTGGCCCCACTTGTGGTGTGCACGTTTTTGCCGCGGATGATGGCATAGCGCGTGCATGGGCGCGCGCGGTGACATAAAGCGTGCTGAAATCCAGCGGACAATCTGTGGGGTTCATGCGGTCCCCCAGGCAGGCATTGAGAGAATGATGCGAAAAAAACAACCCTATCAACACAAGAAGGCAGCCATAAAGGTGCACCCAAAACAAGCACACGGGAAGAGGTCCCCACAAGTTTTAAGGTATACAAAGGCTGTTCGACAAGAACTCGTCGCACGATGCTTGGGGTTCCTGAGTTCCAGTACCACCTGATGTGGCACAGTCTCGTTGGGTCAATCCTACACCCCTAAACCCTAAACCGTAGACCCTAAACCCTAAACCCTATAGACCCTAAACCCTAAACCTAAACCCTAAACCCTAAACCCTAAACCCTAAACCCTAAACCCTAAACCCTAAACCCTAAACCCTAAACCCTAAACCCTAAACCCTAAACCCTGTCCTAACTAGTGTGGCATCGAGGCCCTCTGCTGGGATGCCGGAAGTTGCTATGGCAGGCGGACTTGTGCAGCAATGCAAGCAGCAGTGCAAGAATGGGGTTCAGGGTTTAGGGTTTAGGGTTTAGGGTTTAGGGTTTAGGGTTTAGGGTTTAGGGTTTAGGGTTTAGGGTTAATTCCTCAGAAGCCTACCAACAGGAAGAGAGTTGACTGTCTCATGAGTAGCAGTCCTAGTGACCGGTCAGTGTCGCAGAACGAAGGTAAAATGACAGTAACAGTACCACGGCTCAGTTCAGTGCGCAGGTGGGGGTGCCATACCCGCTGCCGTGACGGGCGTGCCCATGGCTTTCAGGTCTGGGTTTAGGGCTTTTTCCAGTTCAGGGTATAGAGTTCCTAAACCCCTAAACCCTAAACCCTAAACCCCTAAACCCCTAAACCCTAAACCCTAAACCTTATGCTTCAGGGTTTAGAGTCTCTGGAGCTTGGGCTGCCAGCAGGAGCCTGACAGAGTCCCAAATATTTTTCAGAAGGGTCCAAGGGCCATCCTAGCAACAACGTTTGCCAAAGTTCTGGGGGAGCACTTTGAAAGTTGTACCCGGCCGTTTCGAGGTCCTCTCACCCCTTAGGGACTCCACCTGCCCCAAGTGAACTCTCCCTAAACCCTAAACCCTAAACCCTAAACCCTAAACCCTAAACCCTAAACCCTAAACCCTAAACCCTAAACCCTAAACCCTAAACCCT